AGAAGGGCCACAGGTGGACAGGCGGTCACTCACTCACCAGGGGGGTCCCCGCGGTCTGGAGCATGGGCGCCATGCCCGCCTCCTCCTCTGGGGCCGAGGCAGAGCTGTGAACGGAAAAGGAGCCATGAGAAAGCCAAGATTGTGTGCCCACCACCCCAGGGCACCGCGGGCAGACCCGGGACAGGCTTGTAGATGCCAAGGATGTGGGAGGGGGTGAGGGGAGCGGCCAGGAAGGAGGGGCATGCAGTCTGGCTGGATGTGGCCATGGGAGGCAGGGCAGTGTGGTGTGCCCAGGGAAAAGGGGCTGGGGTCTCTCTTAAGACACTGGGGAGCCATAGCAGGTGAGGGAGGACAGCAGTGTGGGGTGCCCAGGGAAAGGGGGCTGGGGTCTCTCCTAAGGCACTGGGGAGCCATAGCAGGTGGGGGAGGAGAGCAATGTGGTGTGCCCAGGGAAAAGGGGCTGGGGTCTCTCCTAAGGCACTGGGGAGCCATAGCAGGTGGGGGAGAAGAGCAGTGTGGGGTACCCAGGAAAAGCGGGCTGGGGTCTCTCCTAAGGCACTGGGGAGCAGTGCAGGGTGCCCTGGGGGACTGAGGGGGCTGGGGTCTCTCCTAAGACACTGGGGAGCCATAGCAGGTGGGGGAGAAGCGCAGTGTGGGGTACCCAGGAAAAGCGGGCTGGGGTCTCTCCTAAGACACTGGGGAGCCACAGCAGGTAGAGGAGGGGAGCAGTGTGGGGTGCCCCTGGGGGACTGAGGGGGCTGGGGTCTCTCCTAAGGCACTACGGAACCATAGCAGGTGCGGGAGCCACACAGTGACTCACACAGAGCCTGCATCAGGGAGGTCTGTAGCATAGTCCTCCCCCTCGTCTGGCGCGCCCATTGGACGACCTGAGGCTGTGGGAGCCAATCAGCGGTGTCGCTGCTCCCTGGACCCTCCCATTCTTTGTCCCCTTCTCAAAGTCCACTAGGCACCTGCTCTCCCATGAGGAGAGGCGGGGAAGCATCGAAGTCGCTGATTGGCTCCTGGGCCCAAGGGCCAGCCAATGAGAGCACCTCCTCGCAGAGGGGCGTTGCTAAGGGCGCTGCTAGAGGCGGGGCCAGGTGTCAACCGCGCAGGCGTGGCTCCCTCAGGGCCGGTGATTCTCTAAGTCCCCCCCCAAACCACGCCCACTTTTCCTCTTTGTTGGCCTGGATAACAGGTGCCGGGCGCCCCGACCCAACCCGGTTCCCCGTCAGCTTGGCTCCAGTCCTGGGCCCGGCTCCCACTTACCCCGGCGCCAGCTCTAAGGCTCGAGCCCTGGCGGCGGCTGAGGACAGAGCAGAAGCGAGGCTGCGGGGCTCGACCTGAATGGGTGCTGCCAGTTAGGGGGCGGAAGTGCCGTTGCCATGGAGACCTCCCCGGAAACCCGCCCCGAGCCTCTGCGCTGTCCCTTCTGGGAAATGTAGTTTGCAGGCCAAGAGCGTGTCCTGAGAGGATTGTGGGTGCACGTGGGCAGCAGGTGCTCTGGAGCTCGTCTCTTTCTGTAACTTGGGCTACTCAAGAGTCCAAGCGTGTAGCTGATGAGTCCCTCTAGAACCTCTGGATTGCAGGCTATGTTATGCTTGTAGCAAGGGCTGTCCTTCCCATTCCCCACCCCCTCCAAGCAGGGGGGTATCATTGTGTGGTTCAGAGGGAGGAAGAATAGGAGTGTCCAGCCTCCTCTTCCCCAGCCTTTGTCTGCCGGGAGGCCGGGCGGGGGGGTGGGAGCCAGTTGACCCTTGGACATTAGTCTGGGGGTGGGGTTGTCAGGTTCACTCTGGCTTCTGGGCATCGTTTCGTTCATTGGAGGAGCAGCTCCTCAAGCTTTATATCCAAGGCATAACTCTCACCGCACCAAATGCCAACACATGTAGGAAGAAAAACATCCAAGTCCAAGAAGTCGGAGAAAGGATACATAGGAGAGCGTCTACCAGGCTCTACAGAGTGAAGGAGCTCTCCCGTTGGAGAGAGCTCAACCAAGAGACAGTCCCAGATCTCACTCCAAGGGGAAATTTCCCAAAGTCTGGAGTGTAGCAAGCTGGGGTTAGGGACATGATAGGGACTGTTGGCTCCTCTCATGTCCTCTTCTTCCAGGCATGAGGAACAGCCAGACAAAATGCTCAGAGTCTGATGATGGAGTGCCTTGTTGGTGGAACATCAAAAAGGCCAGTGTTTGAATAAGTTGTAGAAGGGAGTAAGATGTAAAAGGATATGAAAGGGGAGGTAGGTTATGAAAGGCTTGGAATGACAAAGAAATCATTTGGTATTTGATCCTAGAGGAGACAGAAAACCATTAGAGTTTATTGAGTAAGGGGTGGGGGATGTCGGTCATGTGCTTTAGAAAAATCACTTTAGTGACTGAAAAGAAAATGGACTGGAGGGGGACAGAGAGTGAGGCAGGCAAACCCCCTCCCCACCCCCAAGGAGGTTATTTATTGCAGTAGTCCAGGTGTGAGGTGATGAGGGTCTGCGCCAGGGTGGGAACAGTGTCAGGCGGCAGAAGGGGGAGTATTGGAGAGATGCTGCAGAGGTGAAACGGACCAGAGGTGCAGCAGAGGTGAAAGGGACCAGAGGTGCAGCAGAGGTAAAATGGACCAGAGATGCTGCAGAGGTGAAAGGGACAGGCCTTGGCAATAGATGGATATGGAAGGCTAGAGAGAGTAAGGAGTCTAGGATGACTAATAGGTTGGGAATCTGAGGCACTGGGAGGATAGGGGGTGCCTTCTTGTTGTTTTCAGTCATCTCAGTTCTGTCCAACTTTTTGTGGTCCCATTTGAGGTTTTCTTGGCAAGATACTGAATTGGTTTGCACTTCCTTTTCCAGCTCATTTTACAGATGAAGAAACTGAGGCAAGCAGGGTTAATAACTTGTCCGGGGTCATACAGCTAGTAAATGTCTGAGGCCAGACAAAGATGAGTCTTCCTAACTCCAGGCCTGGCACTCCATCCTCTATGGCACCCAGCTGCCCCTGGTGTTGCTCTAGATGGTAACAATAACAATAACAGCAATAGCTAACATTTGCATAACCTTTACAATGTGGCAGGCATTGTACTAAGTACTTTACAATTATCTCATTTGATCCTATCAATAACTCAGCGAGGTAGGTGATATTATTATACCCATTTTACAGATGAGGGAACTGAAGGAAGCAGAGGTTAAGTGACTTTTCCAGGTCCACACAACTAGGAAGTGTCTATAACTGGATTTGAATTCAGGTCTTCCTGACTCCAGGCCCAGCACTCTGTGGTTCCCCCTAGCTGCTATCAGTAATAGAGAAGGTGGCTGGGGGAGAGGGCATCAATGAGAGTTTAGGGGCAAAGACAATGACTTTAGTTTTGGACACATTGAGTTTCCGATGTGCACTGGATAGACATCCAGTTGGAGTTGTCTGAGAGGCAGCTGGAGATGTGAGACCGGAGGTTGGTAGAGAGTTGGGGACAGGACAGGGAGATCTGAGAATCATCAGCAGAGAGAGTCGGTCATTAAATCCATTGGATTTAGGGGTAGAGTCAGATTTGATTTAATCCAAAGCCATGGAAGAGAGATGTGTCCTAAAAGGATTAGATGCTTTTCTCCCTACCATAGGTTGAGACCTGTAAGAAAGGTTTTAGGGGGTTAGGGTTCCACAGCAGGATAAGAAATTCCAAGATCTTGTGGACAGTCTCTCAACCAATCAGAAAGTGCCCCGAACATTCTACAAACAACTAAATCCTTAAGAAAGAGCCCTGGAGGCTAAACTGGTTGCAACCCATTAGGGTCAAGGACCAGGCCTCCACAGGGCAAAGGCTTTTCTCCACCGAGCTTGCTTAATAAGCTTATTGAATATTGGCTGACACACCCTGAGGGTGGAGATAGCCGCCATTTTTGATTATGGGACCCATGAAGTGGGAGGAGTTAACAGAACATGGACGAACATGAGATGGGCTGTCCAGGAAGAGTGCAACTCAGATGAACTAGACCAATCCTAGCCCTGGTGGGTGGAGTATGGATCTTACTATTTAAAAGTTGATTCTACCACTGAACCAGCACCCATGTGCCTGCTTCTCTCGCGAGAGGCTTAATAAAGGCTTTCCTTCGCTCCTGTGATAGATTTTTGTTTCAGATTTTTCTAGCAATTCTGGAAAATGTTCTGAAGCCTGAGTGTGAATTCTGAGAAGTTTGGTCCCATGAGGACAACATTCACTTTTCATCCTGGAAGAAGATAGTCGGCAGTCAGAGCCATAGACCGTGTGTTCCCTGGGCCAGGAATCTGAAAAAGAGAGAGAAGGGAACTAAATGGAACAGAGCAAGACCGTTAGCAGGAGGAGAAACGGCAGGCAGGGATATCTCTGCATGTGTTTGTCGTGTGGATTCTCAGACTAGAAGCTGACGACTTGCTTCCCTGCTCCACAACTCCTGGCTGTTTGTTCCCCGTCCCTGGCGAGGGCTTCCTCTCCTCTCTAGGGCTCATTCCTGAACCCCTTTGGCACTGGTGGGCCAGGGGACTAAGGCTGCCGACTCCTCTCCTCTCCTCAGGTTTCTGGAGGGGAGGTATTTGACTCCCACCAATATTCTTCCAGTTGGTGATCTATTGGCTAATAGACTCAATCAGCTTTCAGTAAAGGTGGTACAGTAGGAGCAGGTGATATGAGACATTTAGTCCAAAAGCCTGGGATGTATCACCCACAAATCCCAGGGAATATAATGGTGGGGGGCACACACGTGGAGAGCATGGGTGACTGGTGGGTAAACTCACAATCACTGGTTCCTGAAGGTCCTTTCTCAAGGCCGTAGCCGACTGTAGCCGACGTTTTTCATTTCAGTTCTTTCTATTTATTTAGTTCAAAGAGTCGTATGCCTTGAAGCTACTTCTCTTTCTTCTTGTGGCTGTCTTTCTGCACCTTTCTCTACCCCTGTTTGTCCTCAACTGGTCTCTCTCTGCTCCTGGTAGTACATTTTCTCAAACTCTTCTAGTCTCT